CTCCGCCGCCTCCGTGCAGCCCCCCGGGCCGGCGCCTCCAATCACTCTGGAGCCTCCAGCTCCGGGTCTGAAACGGGGCCGGGAGGGGGGCCGAGCATCCACCCGAGACCGCAAGATGCTCAAGTTTATCAGCGGTATCTTCACCAAGAGCACAGGGGGACCTTCTGGCTCCGGGCCCCCTTCCGGACCCCCAGGCCTGTCTTCTGGCAGCGGGTCCAGGGAGCTGCTAGGCGCAGAGCTCCGAGCCTCCCCTAGTGAGTAGGGTCAAGGCCTGGTAGTGGAGATGGGAGGGCACCTGGAATGCTCAGTTCGGGTAGGGGGCGACGTGCGGAAAACTAGGAAAGCTTTTCCGTTGGGTGGGCGGGCGGGTGAGCAAAGCTCACTCAGCTGCCAAGGACTGAGGCAAAGAATACGAGGTTTTGAAAGGGGCGAGCAGCTGCACTGTCCGACATGCAAGGTGACTTGATTTTAGAGCCTCAGAGCTTCCTGGGAAATGATGCCCTTGGTCAGAGTGATTATAGGAAATTGCTCTCAGAGAAGTCTAGAGAGACATTGAAGGAGAAGCCTCAGTTTCCCCTGCGCACTTGGGGCAGGTGGCGTGACAGTGACCTTGCAGCTAGCTGCTGGCCACAGACAGGTCTCCCGGGGCCGGGAGCAGGCTAGTGGTCTTCTCCCAGCGACGGAGGCGGATTGGGCGGCCCGCGGGTGTGCGGGGGCTGGAACGCTGAATATTTAAATGTGAAGCGAGAGGGGCGGAGAGGAATCCTTGCTGCCCCGCCGCCGGCCCCCGCCCCACAGCGGTGTCCGCACCCGCGGGGGGTTGACCCCGAGTGAGTCAGGGGGGCGGAACTGCTGCAAAGACAATTCCTACCCCAGGAGACTTGGGAGGCAGTTCAGGGAAGGTAGTGTTTTATTTATTTATTTCCCAGGGGTGTCTTTATTACTATTTTTTAACCGAGGGAGACAGGAGGGGGACTCGGCTGGGCTCACACTCCCCGGAGGGGAGGCGGGTTTGGAAGCGGGGGCGGCCCCCGGGGCTTGGCTCAGGAGCGGGTGGGAGCAGATGGTTCCGGATCCCAGAGTTCCCGCCGCAGCTGAGGCGCCCCGGGAACGTCCGGCCAGTGTCAGTCATGGGGGCTGCACCGGCCTGCGGAAGGAGCCTCCTTTTCCCCTAAAGGCCCGTGGCTTCTCTGAGCCCGGGGACAGAGCCCTGACCCGGAGGAGCTTGTGGGGAGGCTGTGGAAGAGTGAAGCTAAGAAAAATACCTTGGGCTGTGAAGAGAGGTCAGGGCCACCGTGCCATTGACCTTGAAAAAGGGAGGGAAAACCCTCACCTCAGTTTCTCTCGAGTGAAATGGAGGTTCAGGAAGACCCACTCTTCCTGTCCCACTACTTCCTCCCAGACCTGCCCTGGGAATCTGGAGTCAGGGATGAGCCCCTCTTCCATAGGAAAGAACTCACCACTGTTAGAACACTACTCTCTCAGTCTGGGGCAAGGACCCACGTTTGGAGATGTGCTTTAAAGGAGATGCCAACTGAAGTATTTTTGTCTTGCTAGCTCTGTTGCTAAGCAACCACTGAGCGGCAGCAACAGCTGTGGAGAGAGTGGCTGGCATGGGAGGACTAGGGACCACTCTCAGACCTATCCGTTCTACACACCTCTCTGTGAAGGCAGGGTCCTGGGGTTCAGGGAGCTGCAAAGAAAGGAGGACTGGAGCCCTCCAGGCTGAAGGTCTGGAGTCCGGCTGCACAGGAGCCACCCCTCTTACTGCCCCTCTCCCATTGCAGAGGCTGTGGTCAATAGCCAGGAATGGACTTTGAGCCGCTCCATTCCTGAACTACGCCTGGTAGGTAACCCAGGTCCCTGGCCTGCAGGGAAAACTGACCTCCCCCACTGTACTCTCCTCTCCATTCCTTTCACCTGCTGTTTTTCTGTGAGGGCAGCACTAGTTTTCCAGTTCTCCCGAGACTGCCTGTATTGCCCTGTTGTGGGGCTTGATGCATCTGCACTTTTTCTTCGCTAGGCTTTATGCTCTTTTCTCTGCTAGTCCAGGGCTCTCTTCGAGGCTTCTCCTCACTTTTGGCTTCTGGCCTTTGGCCCTTCACGTTCTCTTGCCCAGAAGAGGGCAACACTTTCCAACTAGGCCTGAGATGGCTTACACACACACACACACACACAGAGCACAGAGCTAGTCCTGAGCTACTGACATTCTTCACCTTATGGTCCATTTCAAGCTCAGGATCATTTCTTACCTTGCTTCTACCAGTTGCTTTCTCCTGACTGCCTGTCATCCAGGCCCTGTAGGCTCTGCTTGGGTGAATTAACACCGCCAGTCCCTTCTGGTTCTCTGACTTGAGCAGATCCAAGCATCTTTCCCCTTCTTAATTTTATCTTTGCTCTTCAACATTGCCTTCAGGGTGTTCTGGGTGATACCAGGAGTGGGAAGTCATCACTCATCCACCGGTTCCTGACTGGCTCTTACCAGGTGCTGGAGAAGACTGAGAGTGAGTTCTCAGGAGCCACAGTAAGCTAAGGATTGGGGCTGGGGGTCCAGTAAGACCAATGACTGGGCAAGAATGGAGACTAGGGTAAAGGATGAAGCCACAATAGTTAGAGTACAGGGAAGTTGGAAATGTTTGGTGATCTGTCACCCCTGACCTGTTTATCCTCAACTGTTCTGGACAGGTGAGCAGTATAAGAAAGAGATGTTGGTGGATGGGCAGACTCATCTGGTGCTGATCCGAGAGGAAGCTGGGGCCCCTGATGCCAAGGTGAGGGGTGCTGGAGGTGGAGTGGCTGGCTGGGGATGGTATTGGGCAAGGGAGAGGGCTCTGGCTCCTCAGGTCTCCTTCTGTATAATGTTCAAAGGAATAGACATGTCTGACCCTCCATTTGCCTTCCCAACCCCCGCAAGTTCTCAGGCTGGGCAGACGCTGTGATCTTCGTCTTCAGCCTGGAGGATGAGAACAGTTTCCAGGCTGTGAGCCGTCTTCATGGACAGCTGAGCTCCCTTCGGGGGGAAGGGCGAGGAGGCCTGGCCCTGGCACTGGTGGGGACACAAGGTAAGGAGAGGTTGAGGAAGCAGTGCTTCCATGGGAGCCCTAGTTACCACTAGGGTATTGCCCAACATGGGTGTGAACTTGGTAAGGTGTGGAAATGGCTACTTATATTTCAGTAACCCTCTAGAGGGATCCTGATCTCCAAATAAGGTAGTCATAAAGCCAGACACAGACTTCCCAAGGTCTGAGCAGGAAAGAGGGTACTACTAAGAAGTAGTCACAGTACGTAGACATCATAGTAGCCACCTCCATTTCTCTCCTGAGATGTTACCTACCTTGTGTTCTCACCCTGCCTTTTCCTGATGGAATCACACAACACACAGAAAATCTTAAGTAGTATGGATAGGAATCTTCCTATTTTCTCCTTCCTACAGCTGGGTCATGCTGATACCTTTTAAAAGAACTTATCTGAAAACAAAAGACTCTGTGTGGTTGCCTGTCCTGCAAGTGCTAGCCTCCACCTGTAGCTTGCATACTGGTTTCTCACTGCAGAGTGAATGATCCACCTGTCATCCATGGGCATCCAGCCTTTTCTTAGTTGACATATCTGGTACCCTCTCACTCATGGCAGGGGTCAATTTTGTCTCAGGGCAGAGTGATCATTACTTGTGAGTCTCAGCCACTTCAAACCTTGTTGGGAAGTTCCACTCACCTTGGAGTATTCTTTGAACACACACACGCACACACACACACACACACACACACACATCTCACATAGGCTCCTTTCACAAAGCTGAGTTTGTCAGCTGGGCTCAGAACTCAGAGGCTTATACATTCCAATCCACTTGCAGACTGACAAACTCCCACACCCCACCTCCAGTGTGCACAGCCTGAACATAGAACACAAGGGAAATGGAATCATGAACAGTAGGGAAGGGGCCTCTCATCCAATCCTGCCCCTTTCTTGTTCTCAGACAGAATCAGTGCTTCCTCCCCTCGGGTGGTGGGTGATGCTCGTGCCAGGGCTCTGTGCGCAGACATGAAACGCTGCAGCTACTATGAGACTTGTGCCACCTACGGGCTCAATGTGGATCGGGTCTTCCAGGAGGGTAAGTGTAGTGATATCAGCATATGTGGGAATCAGGGAACTATGAGCCTGAAATATTCTAGAGGCCCAGAATCCAGACTTCTGTGGGAGTCAGGACAAATTGGGAAGGCCAGAGAGGGTTTGCTTAAAAGTCACATGGTCTTTCTGGGCTCCAGGAGCTGGCAAGCCCACAGGTGGTCTGGTGACCAGTGATAAGAAAGGTGGGGCTTATGTTACCTCCTGGGGGTTTCTCAAAAACTCAGCATGGACAGGTGGTCTTGGGTATCTGCCCTGCTCACGCCTCCTCCCTCTCCCCCTCCACTCAGTGGCCCAGAAGGTGGTGACCTTACGCAAACAGCAACAGCTTCTGGCTGCCTGCAAGTCCCTGCCCAGCTCTCCAAGCCACTCAGCTGCTTCTACCCCCGTAGCTGGGCAGGTGAGTTGATGTTTCAGAGACAAAAGAGGAGGGGCTGGGAATCCAAATGCAGGTACAGAATACTAAAGGATGTTGGAGGAGCTGGGAACAGGTGGAAATGGCAGATACCGTTTGTGGAAAATGCATTGGGCTAGAAATCAACCAGGTTTGAGGTGTCATTTGCAATGTCCTTGAACAAGTCACCTAACCCTCCAAGGTTATCTGAAAGATTGTATGGCATAATACTTATAAAGTCAAACCATGCAAAACTGAAAGCACTCTAAACAATGCTAGTCAGAGCTTTCAATATGAAAGATAATATCAATGAATAGTGGTGATGAGTTCAGAAAAAGTCTCCAATTCCCCAAAACTGGATGTAAGGGTAGCTTGGTGGACACCTGGGTATCTCAACTTTTTGGCTCTTCCTTATCCCCAGGCTAGTAATGGGGGCCACACTAGCGACTACTCTTCTTCCCTTCCATCCTCCCCCAACGTTGGTCACCGGGAGCTCCGAGCTGAGGCAGCTGCAGTGGCTGGATTGAGCACACCAGGGTCCCTGCACCGGGCAGCCAAACGCAGGACCAGCCTCTTTGCGGTATTAAACATCCCTACCCTCTTGTCCTCTGTTACCTTCCCATCTTCCCTAGTTCATCGACCCGTCTGTGGGCCCTTCTTCATTTGTCTTCCCTGTCTTTCTAGCTATCTTTCTTATTGATCCCAATAATCATTCTAGAATCGTCGGGGTAGTGACTCTGAGAAGCGAAGCTTGGACAGTCGGGGAGAGACGACAGGGAGTGGGCGAGCCATCCCTATCAAACAGGTGAGTGTCCAGGGGCCAGGGAAGGCTGGAGTCAGCTAATCCTAGCTGGCTTTTCTCTCACGTATGTCTTTCCCTATTCTAGAGCTTCCTACTAAAGCGAAGTGGCAATTCCTTGAACAAAGAATGGAAGAAGAAATACGTGACCCTATCCAGTAATGGCTTCCTACTATACCATCCCAGCATTAATGTGAGTGGCAGAAAGTGGGCCACATTTGCCAGCATTGGATGCCCTTCCTACCTACCTTGTGCCTCTGACAAGCATGAATATCATTTCTGAGAAGATCTAGTCCTGTTCACTTAAGTTTAGCAAGCATGTTAAGAGCCCACCATTTTTCCATGCTGGGGTTGTGAAGGTAATTTCATCTCTCCAGGAATTTAAATCTAGCGAGAGAGCACCCAGGAAGGGCCTGGCCCTAGCCCACCATTCAGGACTGCTTTCTGGAGGTGATAATTCTAGGCTAAGTTTAATGGGTCCATGCCATAGAAACTCATCCCAGCCCAGTTAGCACTCAGGGTCCCACCCCATACTACTTACTACTTCCCAGCAGCCTCAGAGACCCCAGCCTCCCATACACTCTCAACTCCTGTACCCCTCCAGGATTACATCCATAGTACCCATGGCAAGGAGATGGACTTGCTACGAACAACAGTCAAAGTCCCAGGCAAGCGGCCCCCAAGAGCCATCTCTGCCTTTGGCCCTTCAGCCAGCATCAATGGGCTGGTCAAGGACATGAGCACTGTCCAGATGGGCGAAGGCCCTGGTGAGTAGGGCTCGTGGCAAAGGGGCAAGAGAGGAGCCAGGGCTGGAGAAAAGCGTGGAGAAGGAGGGAAATGGGGCTGGCACTGGACAAGTAGGAAGATGGGTGATAAAGAGGGAACATATAAGGGAGGGGACTAAGAGACAGAGAGGTTCACTGGGGTTTCATCTTCCTCTTCTGACAGAAGCCACTATTCCCACACCAAGCCCCAGCCCCAGCCCCAGTTCCTTGCAGCCACCACCAGACCAGGCATCGAAGCACCTGCTGAAGCCAGACAGGAATTTGGCCCGAGCCCTCAGCACTGGTCAGTGGGATTACCCTCCATCCACTGTTTTTCCAGATACGATGGGATGTTGGGGACTAGGGATATAGCTCAGTGGTAGGGCGCTTGCCTAGCTTGTGCAAAGCCCTAGCTAGGTTTGATCTCCAGTACCAAATAAAGAAAAGAGGGAGGGGGCTGACTTACAAATGGGATGTGGGTGGGAAGTGAAAGCAGGGTGGAGGTTTAGAGCTGGAATACATGCAGGAGAGAACACATGGAGTGTCTGCTGGGTGCCCGGCACCAAGCCCAAACATACTGTGTCTATCGTGGTAGTTAAGACAAGTGGTCTCAAGCCAAGCTGCCTGGCAGTCCCAGCTTGCTACATGGGCAAGTTAATTGCCCTCTCTTTGCCTCAGTTTCCTCATCGATAAAATGGAGACAGTAGTTTTTACCTCACAGGATTACTTTAAGATTTAAACAAACCGAGAACATTGTTCAGCCTATTATCAGCCATCAGTGTTTGGAATGTTTGGAAATGCAGTAGCAAGTAGCATTGCAATATCACAACAAACTTATCAGGTCAAATCCCCCAGGGCTGGGGATTTAGCTCAGTGGTTCTGCTGCCTGCCTTACAAATGCAAGGTCCCGAGTTCGATTCCCAGTACCAAAAAAAAAAAAAAAGAAAAAGAAAAAGAAAAAGATTATAATCCACCATTTTAGGGATGAAGAAACTGAGGCTCAGAAGACTAAGTGACTTGCTCAAGGTCTGAAAGCCAGTAGGTGGGAGAGTCTAGATCTGAGTGCAGGTCTGATTGTAAACCACTCATTTACCCCACTTCCCACCTCCCCAAGAAGGATCCAGGGGGACCTCTTGCAGAGGGACAGCTAAGGAGGCACATCCTAAAATGCCAAAGCTAGTTCAGGGGAAGAGACAGGCTATCAGTAAATCAGGAAATCCAGGGCTGGGGATTTAACTGAGTGCCAGTGCACCTGCCTGGCAATTGCAAGGTCCTGAGTTCAATCCCCGGTACCAAAAAAAAAAAAAAGGTAATCAGGAAATCTGTGGAGGGCACTACTGAGGCAGTTGTGTCCCTCTCCCTAAGACTGTACCCCATCTGGAGACCTGAGCCCCCTGAGTCGGGAACCTCCTCCTTCTCCCATGGTGAAGAAGCAGAGGAGAAAAAAACTGACAACACCATCTAAGACTGAAGGTGCAGCTGTGCAGGCTGAAGGTGAGACTGGTGGGCAGTTCCACTCCCACCCTGGACCCTCACCCTAATGTCAGATCCCTGGGCTAACTCCTGCAGCAGGAGGAAGTGCCTGAGCTGAGTGCTTGGCTGTCATTACCACTGCACACGAGTTAGTGGGAAAATGGATGGACATACCCCAGCCCCCATTCTCAGTGACACCAGTAGACCTGTAGCTTCTGCTCCCTGTCCTGATGACTCTCTAGTTCCTGTTCCTGCCCTTGTCTCCACTTAAGACCCTAGTCCCTGCACCCGTATCCCTAGTGATTCAGTCCAAAGACACCCTGACTTCTGGATTCTGGCCACCCACCTCCTTCTTCCAGTAACTCTGAATGACTGCCAAGTTTCCCCAACAATCCTTGACCATAGTAATCCCCATTTCTGTTCCCCAGTGATCCACCCAGGCCCCAGTAACTCCTGAGCTCCAGGGCCCTCTCATCCCAGCCCCTACCCAGCTCCAGTCCCGTGTCCCTGTGATCCTTCACTCAGATCCAGACCCTCCCTCCCTTGCAGAGACCAGGCTCCTCTCTGCTTGTGATAACCCCATACCCCTGTGCTCTGCTGGGTGCTCAGACCCAGGGTTCAGATCTGCCTACTCTCATGGCTCTTGGCTTTCGCTCCACTCTGCTCCGGGGCCACTGACTTTAGTTCTGCTTTCTCTCCCCATCTGTCTGTCCTGCTTTGTCTCTGGCACTCTCTGTTACTATCTCTCTCCATCTCTCCATCTGCCTTTTTCTCCTCCTTTCTTGGTCTCTGTTTTGCTCTCCATTCTATCTCTATCTCCTTTGCTTCGGGAAACCAGCCAAGCGCAAAATGTGGAAACTAAAATCCTTTGGTAGTTTAAGAAATATTTATAAAGCAGGTAACAAGTGGGGAGCTGGGAGGGGTGCTCAGCTGGGGTGCAGAGGGATGGGGGGTGCCCCTGCCTCTCCCTGCATGTGCTCGGGCTTCCTGCTCTCCCCTGCCCTCTGCTTCCCCTCCCCCTACTGCCCCATTCCCAGGGGTTCGGGATGGACATCAGGGAGGAAGGGTTTGGGGAAGGTAGCCCCTGCCTGAACTCTGTCCCTCATGACCCCAACCCATCCCCCCACCCAGAGGAAAACTTTGAGTTCCTGATCGTATCCAGCACTGGTCAGACATGGCACTTTGAGGCAGCCAGCTTCGAGGAGCGGGATGCCTGGGTCCAGGCCATCGAGAGTCAGATCCTAGCTAGTCTGCAGTGCTGTGAGAGCAGCAAGGTCAAGGTAATGGCTTGGGGAGGGCTAAGTGGATGGGAGGAGAGCTATGGGGTCTTGAGAGGAGGTGGGAGCTGCTCTGAGAGCAGTCAGTACTGACACCAACGCCCTCTGCAGTTGCGGACAGACAGCCAGAGTGAAGCCGTGGCCATCCAGGCGATCCGGAACGCCAAGGGAAACTCTATCTGTGTGGACTGCGGGGCCCCCAGTAAGTGCAAGAGGGCAGGAAAGAGACATGGGAGATGGCATCTCAGGCTAGGAAGTGTGGCTTGCTGGATGGAGTTGGTGAATAAGAGGGTGTCTGCCCTGCCCAATCGGGAACCGACTTTCGCACTCCATCCCCAGACCCAACGTGGGCCAGCTTGAATCTCGGCGCCCTCATCTGCATTGAGTGTTCTGGCATCCACCGTAATCTGGGCACACACCTGTCCCGCGTTCGCTCACTCGACTTGGACGACTGGCCGCGGGAGCTGACCCTGGTGCTGACAGCCATTGGTAACGACACGGCCAACCATGTGTGGGAGAGCGACACTCGGGGCCGCCCCAAGCCCACGAAGGACTCTTCGAGGTACCGTGAAGGAACATATCAGGGGACGTGCAGCTCCTAAGAGGGCCTGTGGATTGGAGGCCGAGGTCCGTAGAGCCCTTTCAGTTGGTTCCTTGTCTTGCAGGGAGGAGCGGGAATCGTGGATTCGTGCCAAGTACGAGCAGCTGCTATTCCTGGCGCCTCTGGGCACTACAGAGGAGCCCTTGGGTCTCCAGCTGTGGGCCGCCGTGCAGGCCCAGGACGTGGCCGCCGTGCTCCTGCTCCTGGCCCACGCGCGACACGGGCCGCTCGACACCAGCGGGGAGGACCCGCAACTCCGATCCCCTCTCCACCTGGCGGCGGAGCTGGCCCACGTGGTCATCACTCAGCTACTGTTGTGGGTATGCGAGTGGGCGTGGTGTTTCCAGGGGGACTCCGGCGGTGGGGTTGGAAGCCGTAGGGAAGTGGCGTGTGTGTGGGGGGGGCCCTCGGGGACGCACAGTCACGCAGCGCTTTCGCCTTCTAGTACGGAGCGGACGTGACGGCCCGCGATGCCCAGGGCCGCACGGCGCTGTTCTACGCGCGCCAGGCTGGAAGCCAGCTGTGTG